GGGCACATACGCGTCTGTGGCGCACGTATATACATATACATATATCTATATATAATACGCGTACGCTTTAGCCCTCCCTGAAATGAATTTCCATCTCCTTTCAGCGTGAGGTGACGGGATTTAGAAGATTTCAAACTCGTTGGCTCAGCCGCATTTCCCTATGCTTTAACACCCCTACACCAGGCGAGGTGGCTGGGCAACAGAAGCCGGAGGTTCTCGGTAGCGTACGTTTTCTCATCGCAGCCTATTGAACTATTGCCTTTAAAATATTTCTTGTAATATCTCTTTGGAAGTACGTGTTTTAAAAATGTAAGGAGCATCTGTGAGCTTTCTGCTATGTTTATTCAATCCTCAACCCTCCAAACACTTGAGAATTCGAATTATTCAGCTAGGCTTAATGAGGCTGACTCAGAGTAAAGTTATGTGCATAAAAGTCAAGGATAGGAGGCCTTCATGTTATGCATTTTTAGGTGGTTATAGGGCTTTCAATATTAATGTTTACTACTGAACAGTTTAAAGGAGAACTCGGGCTGTACCTTTTCATCAGTGCTTGCCGCTTCTTGCCTTGCTGCAAAGGAGCTCTTTGGGGGGGGTCTGGGACGTGGAAGTTTGTTTGTGGAAGCACTGCAATCTGTCAGTGCAAATCTGAGGGCTCCGTCTCAGCCACTCCAACCTCAAACCTTGCTAACAGCTACAACTGCTAGCTCTGTGTGGGTTCACGCCACTAACCACTAAGCTCTTAGGTCAATGACTTTCCCTTTGACTCCATTTTCCAGTTGATAGAATGGGGAAAACCACTTTGGATGTCTAAAATGACCAGCACGAAGCATCACCATGGGCTGTACTGTGATCCCTAGCACAAAACAAAAAAATAGGTAAGAAAATTTGACTAGACTAAGAGCCTGCCCATTTCCACATCCCAGCTTGTTTGGGCTTTGCAGGTTGGTTTTTTTTTTTCCTCTTCAGTTGCCTTTGACGCTCCTTTTTCTGGTCCTGAAGAGTACGAGAAGGCCAATTTGCTTGTGGCCTTAGCGGTTCTGGGCAATGGGACTGCAGAAAGGACTGCTGGCCTCGTGCTGGAGATCTGAAGAAGGCAGGCTCTCATATGGCTCTGGAGGGGAAATTGTTCAGGTAGTCTGGCAAAGACGCACATGAGCGAGGGAACTTTTCAGTGCTGGTCTGAACTAAACCTCTAGGGACTCCTCGCAATTAATCCTACAAGCTTCTCCGGGGCTTTATCCTGACCTCATCCCTGCTCCCATTCACACACATAGTAAGAAAAATTCCTGTTGAGTCACCCTGAGGAAATGTTCAGAAGAAAACTCATCTTTTTTTCCTAGATGTGCTTTTTGCTCTGCTAAAGCAGCCGCTGGACGAAGCCAGGTGCCATCCTAGCCGTGCTAGGTGGAGGATTTTGCTGAACGCAGCTGGAGAGCGAGAGTCTCTTTTGGCTTGCCACGGGTGTACAAGGGTGCAACTCTCTTCATTTCATTTACACGGTATGAGAAAGGCCTTAGCATCTCTGCTGTGAGAGCAGAGGAACAGGTACATTTTATATTTCTAATGATTTTTATTCTGATTTTACTCAGACCTTCAGATGCATTTTTGCATATCTGTCTTTATAATTTTGAGCTGGTAAAGGAGTTTGGTCAGAAAATGCTGACTGCAGGAAATGGAAACTTTTTGCAGAAATATCTCACTTTAATGAAGTAAATACCATGTTATACTCAGATCACTCCCATGAAATTGAGTATTTGTCCTCCACAGCGTGGTTTTGGGTTTTACGCTGTGTTGCAATATTCATACTACAATTATAAAAAATGCATAAACATAGAATTGCTTTTGGAATAATTTCTTTCACAGTAAAGTTATGAGATCATTGAATTTTTATCCCTATTCTACTTGAAGGAAAATTGAAGAATCTGAGAATTCCCCACAAAACAGAAATTCCAAATTTTAATTAGCTTTACTAAAACAACCATCTTCCCCACCTTGCATTACAGGATTTTGGAAAGAAAGTCGCACCTCGCACCTGTTTCTTCACAGCATGTTGGGGAAGAATGGAAAGTAGATGGACAGGAGAGGGAGGTGTGTCTGCTGGTGATTTGAAACATATGCAGGACCCTCCATTCCAGTTTTATCTATAAAACCCTTTCTGGTGTGAGACAGCTGCTGCCTCTGAAGCCTTCTACGTATCTCCTGAAATCCCAAAGATCTTTCTTTTTTTAACCTGTATTGTATCCCCATTGCCCTTGAGATCCTATATTACAGCTGCTTTCCTCGGAAGGATTTGATAAGAATATCTCTTTTGGACCATGTCAGTGTTAGAGAATTGCTGTCAAGCATCAAGAGATGCTCTCTCTCTTCCCCTGGGGCTTCAAAGATGCTATTCTAAAATTAAAGTGTTTGGTATAGATAAGATGCTTAGGGTTATAATGAGGTCAAGAGTTGCTGGCAGTTTCCAACTAGATTTTTTTTTATAAGTTGATCAGATCTCTTGCTGTGTTATTTTCCTTTTTAGAGAGATAAATACAGACAGACCAGGTAGAGAAACAGTCAGGAACAGAAAGCTTTTGAAAAATATTTGGAAATTATTCTGATTGCGTTGTCTAAGTCAAGTTGCCCCATTTGATTATGCTGGTATCCTCTGCAATGCAATGTGACATGGAATATGTGATGTAACGAGATATGCCCGCCAAAATGCAATGATGTGCTTTGTTTTAGTCGGAATGTATTAATCCGCTTACTGAATAATTGACCCAAAGAAATTCTGTCAAACAGTATTAAATTATTCACTGGATTTCCAAACCAGCAGACAGTGTCCTTTAAATATTTAAGAATAATGTCAAATAATTTTCCACACCAAAAATATTCTTCTTTGTGTTTGTTGAGGTTCCCTGGCTCTTCTCTGTTGTTTAAGGAGGGCAGGATAATTAAATAAACGCCAGTATGCCCTTCAGAGGTGCCATGTGAGTGGGAGGGCAGAGGCTGTCCCACCTATTAGCACCCCCCAGAAGGAGAAGCAAATGCTCACCTGGTTCGGCTGTCAGACCCGGCCAGGTGCCATACCATTAGCACATTTTCACTGCCTCGCCCATACGTTTTAAAGCAAACCCCAAACTCTCCACATTCATATACATATATTTTACCACGTAGCCTGTGCCTCGGCAGAGTTCCCCCAGAGATGGTGCGGCATTGCAGGCTGCGTGGCCGAGGCTGTGAAGTGCCCTGTTATTCCCTACCCTCAGGCCTCGCAGTACCTCTCTAGGTGTGCATTATGAGATAACAACCTTGCCGGATCAATTTTGGTGTGGAAAATAGGTTTCCTTAAAAAAGGGACACCAGTATAGCAGCATTCAAGTTCTACCAATTACAGTGTCTGACACCTTTCCCCTTGAAGGTTGCATGCTGAACGAGTGCAGGGTATATTTCTGGCTTGTTTAAAAAGGATGAGGACAGGCATCTGATAGCTTACCTTAATTATTCCATTTCCTCCTCTCTATATACATTTCCAAAATCTAATTATAGTGCTTGTGGCCCCTGCTATCAGCCAGTACCCAGAGATTAATATAAAGCCATGGGAAGGACAGCTACTTCTCTTCACGCTTTCCACAACATTGCAAATATATTCCAGCAGTCTTTTGATACTAATATTTTGATACATTCATCATTGTGTTAGCATCGGCAGTGAGCAATATTTATAGTTTATAAGCTCTTCCAGGACCAACTGTTCATATTACTCGTATTAAGTCCATTCAATTTTCCACCTGAAATACCACATTTGTCTAGTCAGAGTTTGACATCTATTTTCGGGGGGGCGGGGTGCTTTTAATATCGAGTTTTATTTAATTGTATGTTCTGCTTCTCCCAAAGAATACACTGAGGCAATCTGTTATGCCGTGTCAATCAACTAAGATGCAGTTGGCTGCATTCTCAGGTTTATTATCTAGGTCCTGATAAGGGGACATTTTTGTGTGTATGCATCTCTGTGTGTTGAGGTGTAATTGCTTATCTGTTCTTCTGTGGCTTTATTTAGACTGGAATTTGCTGCGATGTCCTCACGAGTGCAGGAATGCTGTCCAGGGGTGTGCTCTGCGTGCAGTCGGTGGGCAGTGGGCAACCTTCCTCAATACGTTTGCTATTCCAAGCTACAAGTACTGTCACGCTCCGTTCCTTTTTGTAAACAACCAGCCTCCAAACCTATTAAATATCCTTTATTTGTCAAAATAGATAAGTACAGTAATGATTCTCTTGCATCTGCTCTCCCTTAAAGGTGTTTAGATCTGGCTTTAGGAGACAGCAAACCCTATGACTCTGATCAGCCACAGTTTAATAAGAGGAAGCAAAGCCCAAATGGAACAAAAATATATAGGAAATTCTTCCTCATTTTTGTATTATTGTTACTTAAGGGGCAGGGAGGCAAATTATGCCAGCACTGAAAATAAACTTTGCAACTCCTGCAAGGACTAAAACTCAAGACTTATGTAGGTCTCCAAGCTTTTAATACTAGAGTTGTCACAGCCATCATGCAATTCAATGTTTTGGCACTTTGGAACAGCAAGAGCAAAACAAGACTTGGCCAAAGAATGCACTGGTCCATCAGTTTGCCTGACAACTGCCATCCCCTGGGCTCCCCTGCTATAGCCCCTACTCACTGCACAGGGAAATTCACCCCCAGAGTGAGAGCTTGTGAGAGACTTCTTTCTGCGTCAAACTTCCACCTTTTTCTCATACGTCCTGTGTG